ACCATTGATTTGGCTGACAAAGAAGTCTATTGCGTGCACCCATTTTGTCAACAGGAGATCTTAATGTTTTTTGATAAACTCATGAGAGAATTTCTCGAAGTGTCAAATCGCGTTTCAACCGAGACGATGTTCATTTGATGAGTAATAGAAAAGTCTAGAATAGTTTTGTTTTCCGACCCTTCGTCCTTCAGATCATAGGATGCTCATCGCGGCTAAGAATCTACTGCGGTCCTAGGAGAGAGAAGGCTCCCGCACCACGGCGAATTATATAGATCGTTGCCACGACCGCGATGGCTTTCAAGGTTAGAACTGTTGGTATGAATCTATATGATTCATCTAGTCTCTGAGTGTTACACTTATGGATACCTGAATCCTATGCAAATCCATGAAGTTTTGCAATGTCTACCTTCGCTACCGCTGATGCGCTACTATGGACCCTCTTATTGAGAATTTTGTTCGTGCAAAGTTTGAAGTTGAAAGTCTATTAGAGGTCTTACAAGTTTTTTGTTAAAAAACTGATAGTAAAGTTTCGATATCTCAAGAACAGAGGCTCTCAAAAAGATACCATCCGAAAATTTTTTGCCATGAAAATGTAATCACTAAAAAAAAGGCGAGAAGGGACTTCAGGTTATTTTTGGTCCTTGTGTCTCCTATATTCTATATAAGGAAGCCTCTGGAAATTTTGAGTCAATGATAGTTTATGGTCGAGCCTTTCTTGAGAAAGTGAGAATATTCTTAAACTTATATTTATTACTTTTCTTCGAAGAACATAAATGTGAGTCTTACACAAAAAAAAAATAAAAATATCTTTCAATTATCTAGGAAATTAGTAGTCTAATTGATTCATTAGCAATGCGACATCAATTATCATCACGAATATTTAATGGTAATAAAAAAGAATTGACTAATATGAAATTAATAATTTGTTTTCTTTTTTTTTTTTGTATTAAAATAGAATATGCTACGAATACACTTCAACAATCATTAGAAAAATTAAATAATAATCTATCAAATGATTTTGATAGAGTCAAATCTGTATTTGAAGAAGCTGTAACAAATCATTGTTCTGATCATACAAAAAATCAATTATTTAATAAAGGTTTAATAAGTTTACAAAAACAAAAATAATCTTGTCATGTATATTTTTCAGTTGAATTTGAATGGTCTAAACATAAAAAATTAGCAATTACAGAATTAAAACATGGTTTATCATCTTATTGTGACATCGGTTTATACAATCTTAAAATTCAAATAGCTATACTTGAAAAACTTCAAGTATTTAATAAGAATATTCGTTTTTTTTTCTTCATAAAGAATTTACTTTTTTTTTTGTTTTGTTCAATAGAATTTTGTTGATCAATTATCTCCCGATGAGAATGATGTAAACACTGGATTATCTGATTTTAATGCTAATAGTTTACAAACTCGAAAAGAAATTGATACTATGTTACGTATTATGCTCGATCGAGCACCAAATGATCCAAATTCTTTACCTAATTCTAAACGGCCAAAATTTCTTAATAATCAATTAATTCTATCAAGTAAAATATTTATTTTTATACTTTTAAATATTTAAGTCCTTTGTTTATTTGTTAGATTCCCTCTATTCACCTGAAATAACTGAAGCAGCAGGTCGTTCATATGGACAATCATTACGAGAACAAAATGCATGTCTTATTCCACAATATCCTTCTATGATTCCTTCAACAACTACACAATTACCACAACATGAATCAATGATGATTACACCTATTATTCCACATAATGATCAATTTCAAAGTAAATTAATTCATATCGAAGATCTAAGACATAAATCAGATCAAATAGAAGATCATTGTTAGTATAGCTTACGAGAAAGATTCTTTCGATTTCAATGATTTGAGTTCCTATTAATACTTAGGGCATAATAAAAGTTCGAGCCACGGATCTTTTTGGATAAGGGGACCTATTGAGAAATGAGAAATCAAATATACCATATTGTAGAGCTTTTTCAGACGCGTCGAATAGTATATAGTAAATCTTGTTTTCATAGGACCTAGAGTCAATTTATTGATAGACGACCACACACTCGTATGTAAGAAAAAATGTTTTACAAATACTTTCGACTAATACCAAGGACCACAATATTCAGAAACTTATTATGTTTGAGTGTGGATGTACATTCATCTATCAGTAAATTGAATCTAGGTCCTATGAAAACAGGATTTGCTATATAACACTCGACGCACTTCAAAAAGCTCTGCAACATCGGATATTTGATTTTTCATTTCTTTAAAGGTTCTCTTATCCGAAAAGATCCTTTAAATGCCGTGACCAGAACTTTTGATGTGCTCTAAGTATATCCCTTTCCGGCCGGATGTTTCCATATGGAAACATTTTCCCCTATAGGGGTACGGCATTTTTCAAATAGCCGGCCGGAAAGGGATATACAACATGTATTTTTTTTTTTATTGAAGTTAGTCTAGTTGAGTTCTCTTTCGATAGTTTAGTCAAATATCAATAGGAATTCAAATCCTTTTAGGATTTTTATTAGAACACTATATAGTATCTAAAGGCAAAAAGCATCATTGAAATTGGAAGGAGACAGTTGAAGAGGTTTCACCGTTAGGTTTTTGGAAACCAAAGAAATATGTAATTCGAATAAGATTAACGGGGAGAATTACTCAACTAATTAATCGCTTTTGAGTTGAAACTGCGCACATTATGTACACCCAAATGAGCAATGGATACCCTGGAAGGAGTTCAAGCTATTAGTCTATTGCTGTTGAGATACTGAACTTTTACGGTAGTTTTTAAATACATACCGTAGTTCAGTAAAGCTGATTTCCGAATTTCGACTTGAAATTTTGTACAGAGATAATTCTTCTTAAGAATAGTTTCTTACAGGTGTTTCAACTCTTGTCATCGTTTCTATTCTTTCAAAAGAGAAACAAATCAAAAGACCTGAAACTTCCACAATGAACTATTCTCGCATCAGTTTTTCTGAATCATGACATTCATTTAAAAACTACTGTAAAAGTGCAGTATTTCCACAGCACTAAGTTAAAGCCTCGAAGTCTTTTCAGAATGTTCAAAATCTACATGATGAACATAATCTCGACTTCATCTAACATAGAATAATTTCAAAAAGAAATTCATTTGAATGATTTTATTCATCAAAAGAAATACTAATATTTTTTTTTGTAAGAATTACTCTAATCGAATTATTAAGATATTTGATTTCGATAAATTCTTTGACTGATATTATTTCTTAACATGACCAACCATCGATCATCCACACATAGGAATGATGTAATAAAATGTGACATACTCATCCTTCTTATCACGTTCGTATTATCAATCATGTGATCATTGTGTTCATGTTTGACCAGTTTCAATATATACATATGTGACTCTTCTCTTTTCTCATGACCGATGCACTTGATTACCTTTCGTCGTCTCTTGATCATTGATTTAGATATAAACATGTGTGCATAAGGAGATTAGGTGATATTGTAGTGTGAAGAAATCAAAAATAAAGTGAACATCATCACTTTTTGGACATAAACTATGACTTTCGAGAAAAGGATGTAATAGTATTTTTTGTTTGTTATTCGATGTATGATCTTGAAAGCTTGTTGAAAATTGAATAACTTTTATCTAGAATGTTTCGTTTCGTAGTAAAATGTTAAATTCTCAATTTCCATTTTTTGAAGAATTTGATAACTCAAGAAGGAATCATTCTTTTTGACTGAAATGTTTAGGATATTCTAAAAGATCTCAAAAGTTGTTCCAAGTTTCAGGTCTAAATTCATTTGTTCAATTTTTTTTATAAATAAAAAATCTAATGAAATGGTCGTAACTCTAGACGAACAGCGCATGAAACGAAATTCTTCTGGATTTTTTCTAATTTCAATAGTAGAGCCCGTCGGTTCGAAAATTTTTGGGACCGCACCGTACTTTGATACTTTCAATGAAATTTTCTAATTGACATTGGATAATCGTCTCGAAGATACGAGATAGGTTTTTTTTATATTCAATGACTGTCGCATCCTACATATTTCTCAGACAACTAGAGTCCATTGGGACCAATCCGATGGGCTTGATTCAATAGATCCTACCCAATGAGAGGTATCTCGAGATACTACTTGGCATGATTCCCTCATTCTTCATGCCGTTCTATTTTTAAAAAAGACAATTATTGATGAAAAACGAGATTTCTCACGAGAAAGTTACGTCCATTGATGATAACAAATATTAATATTTTCTCATCAAAACGTAAAAAGAAACATTACTAAAACTTCTTTTTTTTTGTATTCAGACACACCTGATGATGATGATGATGATAATTTACCTTCATATACTGATCTATTCGTTGTACCGAGTAGTTGCAAACAAGCACGTATACAACGACGAAGTCCACGTTTCAATAATCAATAAATGAAAATATTCTTGTCTATTTAAATATATCCTGATATTACCTTTGTGTTTGTCGAATGAATTCTTTATCTATGTCAGTATGAATGTGCAAAGATAATAATCCTTAATTTATATTATATATAGATCTTATTACCTATTTGTTGTTACTGTTTAATTAGTCAGAGAAGACAAAAACCAAGATGTATACTTTAATCTCTATTCTGTTTGCTTTGTATAGAGTTTTTTTTTGTGTCTTGTATTCTTCCTTCAAATATATTAATGACATTATTTAAAAAGAAAATTATATTTTCCTTCGGAAAAACAAATGAATTGTGCGTTTATGAGCCATAAAGCTATATATATATACTTTATCATGAAATTTCATACAACAAAAAAACTTAGTGAATAAAACTAAATACAAGTGATTCATATTCAGATGGAAAATTTTCGGAACAAAAAAAAAAAAAAAACGAAATCATGATCATTAAATATACAACGATAAGAAGGCACTTCGACTTTGATACTAATAACGTGCAAGTATAGATCACCGGTTAATAACATTTTCTTTTTTTGTTAAAGATGAGTGTGTGTGTGTGTTTTTCTTATAATTCTGTTACTCTTAAATGAAGCGAACGAGGCATAGACACTGTTCGATTAGTTAGAATTGGTGTATCTTGTAATGAATCATATATATGATTACTAATACTTGGTGATGGTTTCGTTGGTATTGGTGGTGGAGGTCGTTTCGGTGGTTTAATATGAATACGTGCTTTATCTGGTTGTATACATTGATTAATAAATGGTATAATTGATGATGAAGATGAAATTTTATTTGATTTTGAACGTTGTGATGAAGAAATTTCTTTTGCTGATTTTGAACGTTTAAAAATTAAACCAGGAGTTTTAACTGGTGAAGTATCAGGTGGTGAAGTTGATTTAGTACGATAAATTTTTTCTTCAGTTTTATTTGTTTTAGAATAACGTAATGAAGAATGAAATGATGATGAACGTGTAAACGCTATTTTTGATGTTTTAAGACGATCTATCGAGAACAAGAAAAAATAAAATCAGAAATAATTTATAAATGAAAAGCATTTATGATTTAAAGAATCCATTGAATATTCGTAAGAATGAAATCATTTAAGGGAAATACTGACAAGATTTTCCATTCGAAAAGTGTAATAGACATTAGAGATGCTTCAATGGGAGCTTGATAAGAATAAAAACATTCAAGTTATAACCATCGAATGAAAACTCTTATCGTATACATGTCAGACAAATTTCCTTCTTCTTTTCAATAGATCATTAGAGACAGATCAACAAATTGCATTTTTTATCTCTAATGCTCAATGTATCATTTAGATAATATCGAATTTCTGCTGTACGATTACCATTTCGAATATTTTTAAAACTATGGAATGTATATCATAAATAAATAAAGTATATATTTCTTTCATAAATCACGACAACTCTTTAAAATCTTGATATCTAAAGTCAAACAAGAATAGGATTCTTCCACATTACAAATATATTATTGACGCTTCTTTCTTACATATCAAATCATATTATCTCGGCTTTTTATTACGAAATATAAAAATTTTCAATAGAAACATATTCATAGTATTTAAATTAATATACTTCTTAGAATTTTAATCTTTATCTTAAAGTAACCATACCTAATGAATAAGACATATATTGTGTAGGTGTACTATCAATATCAATAAGTGTTTTATGTGTATCTGTTGAATTTGAAACAATTTGATTAATTGGTAAAGAAATACTTGAAATAGATTGTTGCATAGCTGATGTTGTTGGTGTAATAAAATTAAAATAATGTTGATTAGGTAATAAATTTACAAGATTATCTATTTCATCATTAATAACTTTAGTCATTTTTTGATAATTTTTATATAATTGTACACCATATAAAATAATTCGAATACCATTTATCCAACGTTGATATTCATCATATGTATTTGTACATAAATAATGTATATATTTATTTGATTTTTTTTGTATATGTGCATGTTTTAATGCAAAACCATATGAAGTTGGTGATCGTAATGATTCAATCCAATTATTAGCATAATATAATTGTATATTTGAATCAAATTTAAGTAAACAAATAAGATCTTGTTTTGTTGATGTTGATTTTGGTATTTGATAAATACCTGATTGACGTAAAATACATGTATATTTTTTCCATATTTTACGATTTTTATCTTTTATATAAAGTATACTTGTTATATCATCAGGTAAAATAATTGTATCTGATGATATATAATCAGTTAAAATATCATCAATAATTTTATCATTTGTTAAAAAAAATTTTTTTGGCTCTTGAAATATCATATATTTATTTTCATGTTCTTGAAAACATATTCGATTATGTGTATCACGTGACCAATAAATTAAACCATCATTTATTAAATATTGATGATCTTCAAATATACGATATATATGTAAATCAGGTAAATCTTCAATAATAGAATAATTTATTGTTGGTTTTAAATGATATTTATGAAAAAGTAATATTAATATTTGATATATAGACATTGTTTCATTAATTAAAATATTTTTTGTTGATTGATCTTCATTATAAATTTTAACAAAAATTTTTTTTATATTTGCTTCATGTATTTTTTCTAATGCTAAACGTATTTGATTTTCTCCATAATTATTTTTTAATGTATCACATGAAATAACCTATTATTCAAAAAAAAAAGATATCTTTTATTTTTTTGTATATTCAAAATTTTACTTACACTTGAAGCATTTGATATTTGTTGACTTATTAATGGTAAATTAATTGAATCAGTTGATTGAGATAAACCACTATCAGAAAAATGTTCTTCACTTCCACCTTGATGATGATTTCTATTTAAATCACTAATTGCCGATGATGATGAACTATTACCAGAATCAACAAATTCAATTTCAATATTATTTAATGTATTAGCTAATGTAGCTAATGTTTGACCAAGTTCATCAAATTGTTCAATAATTGTTGATGAAATAGATTTTTTCTTCCATGATTTAATTTCATTACGAACCATTTTTCTTTCATCTAGTCGTTGTTCAAGTTTATAAAGTTGATCAAGTAATATGTCAAGATCATTTTCTGAAAATAAAATTGAATAAGATGTTAATTGTTCTCTTCTTTTTTTTGCAAGTCATGCATAATATTTTATTTAGTTCATAAGTATACTACACACTTCTTTGTTCTGACGATGTTGCGTTAAAATGAACTCTCTAGAGGAAGTGTGAGAAAACAAATTTTAGCTATGAGCGTTTCGTCAACATACAATCGTTTATATTGTGCTTCGATGTATATTTCCTTTTTTCTAATGGGTATTACGTGATCATAAATTATTATTTATTTATTTCTTATTTTTTTTTTTTTGGCAACAAAAACAACATAAGAATTACCTTGATTTATATTAGAGGTTGTTGGTGATGTATTTGTTTTATTTCGAGCTTGTTGTTCTAATGTTGATAACTCTTCATAAGCTTCTCGAATTTCCTATAATATAAATAAGATAAGATTCTCTATATATGATATTCAATATTTATCGTTTATAGAGTAATGATATAGATGTGAAATTAGATGACTTTTTTTTTTTCTCTTAAATCACCTAATCTTTAGAAAGTGCATAATGCCAATAAAACATGTTAGCCAACTATGCTAATAAGCTTATAACTTTTTGGTGCCAGGTGGTAAGTAGACTCATAAATTTGCTACACATCCGTTTTAACAATATGACACCCAGATAAATGTATTCACTGAACAGGGAAGTAACAGCCTTCCCTACATCAATCATAGTTCAAAAGAAATGTCTCTTTGTTTGAATGCAAATGATCGGTCAAGAGGAAATATGATTAAATGCAAAAAACAACAAGTAGTCTTACTTCTTTAAAAGTATTTAAATCACCAAGACAATTTTCGACATGTAAATTAATTGATAATTCATTTTTTTTT